GCCATTACGATATTTAATTAAAACTCATTTAGTAATTTGTGACTTAAAATATGAGGGTGGGTGGACAGATACGACATTTGTATTTCTCGTTTATTTTACGCATTTTGTGCACTGGGACCATAAAAAAGAAAACAGTGGAATGGCAGTAAAAGGTTGTCTTCTTCCTGTTCTGCTCCCTTCCCCCCCCCCCCAACTTTTTTTTATTTCTCTTTCTCAAGTGCTTTTGCTTCGAAAACTTTGTTACCAAAAGAAAAGTAAGTTTCCGAGTAAAAATGGAAGTATATCATGAGAGAAAAAACTTTGATTTCAGTTCATCGCATTGGAAGGTACACAATCGATTAATCAAAAACATTCTCACGTAATGTTAGACTCTACCATTGTACATCAGTTTATATTCACTTGTTGATACTGAATGAAGGAAATGAATATCACGAGTAATATATTCTTTGCCTACTGAACTGCCTCATTGAGCAGGTCTCTGTGTGAGGTCAAGAATGTGCTCCATTCTACACGTCCTCGGTTCTACACCCTACATCGTTACATCCATTGCCTGAGGATTCTCGTGGAATGTGCAATGCATATTTAATTGAAATGTTTGTCATGGGAATTTTGCTATTATGCTGTTGTTTTGATAAGTACGAATCTATTGATCAAAGTACTTTAAAATAAACGTCTGTCAAATATTTATTTTATTTAATAATGAAAATAGGAGTGTGTTCTCCTTGAATCTATCGTCTGTACGAATTGGAGCCATAGTCTGGCAACCACAGAAATACAGTAGTCCCGATTATCCGACCTTACGGGACCAAAGAGCGGTCGGATAATCTAAAATGTCTGATAATACGGAAGACTAATGAAAAAGACGAGGATAAATATCAACTCAACTTATAACACAATGTAGGATATTATTAAATTGCGAAGAAAATACAATATGACATCAAATGAAAAAATCTCACAAGCAAAAACATTGTTTGGCATAATTTGAATGAAATAAATTAGAAATGGGTACTTTAATCTGTGTGAACAAGAATATCTATGTTTTACTGATGCGAATTGATGTTTAAATCAATTTTATTAAAAGAGTTTAAATCCCTTCACAGCATCAAAATAATTTAAATCCGTTCACAGTTACTAACGTGATATAAGCTTGTCCCGACATGTTATTTTAATATCTCGTAAAATAGCTAGCATTCAAACAAAATTTCCGGATTGTTTTCTCTCCAAAATAAAAATGTTACTTCATCATTTAAGGCAGAAATATGCAAATATTTAGAATCTTTCAACTTTATGTGTCCCCAACGTTTGTGGAAGAAATGTCTTACAATGGTTGCAGTGCAATACCTTAAACGTGTTATCTTCTTTTGTATGTACATCCACCACGTCAATAATTAAATTATTACATTTTTAACATGAATGAAACACATTTTAATTGCATTGTGATTCGTAGTTACTTTTCAGAATCTTTTGACTGTAAGTAATCAGTGTAATAATTTAAAAAATTATTTTCTTTTAATAAAATACGAAATGTTTACTTCCTGTTGATGGTCTGGTCTTGTATGGACAGACTCCGAGATAAAATGCAAGGAAATAACGTTACATCAGGTTCAGTAAGTTCTGTGAACGGACTTAGTAAGGTTCCCTTGGAACACAGTTATTTTATGTGTAAATGAAGTTACACCAGTCCGACAAGTTATTCATCCAGGGATTGTTGAACTTGTAAAAGGGTTCAGCCAAGCATGAACGCTGATAAGACGCTGTTGCCATGGGTATTGTTACACTCTATTGGGAAAAAAAGTCTAGAACATATTTTTTTCGTTGCTATAGTAACATAAAACTTATTGACGTAGTATGCAGTCTTGATTAATAAGTTGATGGAAATTCTGTGACGTATTAGTAGTCATTAGAGCAGTTGAAATCAATCTCATGGATAAAGTTTCTAAATCACTTTGAACAGTAAAAATAAAATTAAGATTCTGACAATCTGCATTAGCTAATGATGGAAAGTAATAACCTCTCAGTGTTGAACACCTCGTTATCAGGATATTGGATTCGTGTTCAGAATTATCAATAAAATAAATACTCTCTCATACATTATTATTGAGTGACGTATTTTATTATATAAATTAAGAAAAGAATGGGAGATCTGTGGATGAACAAGTGATAAATAATTATGAGTGGAAAGGTGTTTCGAAGCAAACATATTTTACATATACGTTCGTTACGATACTGAGTTCTTGCTTTTAATTTATTAACAGCATAAATATAGGATCATTGCTAAGCTATTAGATACCACAAAGCGTAATTTATGTTTCTTGATTTCGTTAAATACATGTCGAAAACTCTTATAAATAACAGTTGTGGAGATTGGTTTCATCTAGTTATATTTTATATCATACAACTTTTTGGACGAGGTCGCATCATTGCGAAGCGCCCTGCATGCTCTGCCTCTACACAGGTGAACGAATTTAAAAAAAAATCATATTTTGGAGTTTTCTGAATAATTATTGAAGCATTTCAGTTTTTATTTAGATCTGACAATTTTAACAACTACCTGATAAAATATATGTCGGATAAAAATGTGCAAAAGTTCAATTAAATAAGTCAATACTACTAACGAAATTTCAAAAAATGAGGGTGATTTAACAAAAACTCGCCCGCGGCGCGTCATGCAATCCCATGATTCCAGTAGAAGTGTGGGACAGAGCATCATTGAGCTTTTTCAAAGGAAGGGCACGTGGTAGTCCAGAAAGTTTGGCGTTTAACGTTATAAACATTCAAGCGATATCGAAGGACTGCAACTCGGTTTCTGGGCGCAGAGGGCAATCAACCATCGGAGATTCGTCGGCGGATACAGGCCGTGCCTGTGTGTCAAAAAGAATAGCGAAAGACCGGTACA